GGTGAGGGTAAGCAAGATGGAAGAAGCCAACGTGGTTTATGTTGTACCAAGAAGCAAACTGAAGCCAATGCATTCTCTAACCCTATCCTAAACCCCAAAATACCCAAACCCACTGCCATCAAGTCGATTCTGATTTATACAACTCCCATTGGGTTTCCAGGACTGCAGATCTTGGAAGTAGATTGCCTCATCATCCTTCCATGGAGCAGCTGGTGGGTTTGAGCTGCTGACCTTCTGGTTAGCAGCCAAATGTCTTACCCACTATGCCACCAGAGCTCCTTAACCCTGTCCTACACAACCTCATATTCAGGTGAAATTCAATCTTGTTAGTCTTTTAAAACAGACATTTTCAGATAACTCTCTGCTTTCATATTTGTTATGGAAGCACCTAGTTGAGAAGGGTGAGTAGAATATTTGAGGTTCAAATTAAAGTTTAAAAGATCTTAGTAAATTAGTTACATGGCAAAAAAAAAGAACAGGGAGAGATAAGAATGTACTACACTCTTGAGATTGCTGCAGTTAGAGAAGAGCACAATTAAAGGAATTCCTATATTTCACTGATTCTAGGAAGCACATGTTTTCATAACATTGGAATGTGTCCCATAATTAACATCTTTAATTTTCATTTTTAATGCAAAATAAAATAAGGTTACATTTTAAAATTGATGATATATTGAATTCAAAAAATATAATTCATTTTTCACAGTATGATAGAGATTTCTAAAATTCACTTAGCATTGGAATTATTAAAGAATAAGCAAATATAAAATATGAAATAATTTCACAAAATTTAGAGCTGATCCATTGTTGCTGTTAGGTGCTGTCCAGTCAGTCTCCATTCATAGCAATGCTATATGCAACAAAACAAAACACTGCCCAGTCTTGAACCATCCTCACAATCATTGCCATGCTTGAGCACAGTGTTGCAGTCATTGTGTCAATCCATCCCACTGAGGGTGCTCCCCTTATTTCTGGCCCTCTGCTTTACCAAGCATGATATTCTTCTCCAGAGAATGGTCCTTCCTGATAACATGACCAAAGTACAAGAGATGAAATATGGTCATTCTCATTTCCAAGGAGGATTTTGAGTATACTTATTGCAAAAGAAATTTGTTCCTTCTTCAGGCAGTCCATGGTATTTTCCATATTCTTCATCTACACCATAATTCAAATGAATCAGTTTTTCTTCCGTCTTCCTTATTCATTGTCCAGCTTTCACATGCATCTGAGGCTATTGAAAAAACAATGGCTTGGGTCAGGCACACCTTAGTCTTCAAAATGAAATCTTTGCTCTTTAACACTTTAAAGAGGTCTTTGTAGAAGATATGTCCAGTGCAATACATCATTTGATTTCTTTACTGCTGCTTCCTTGAGCATTGATTATAGACCCAAATAAAATGAAATCCTTGACAACTTCAATAGTTTCTCCATTTATCATCATGTTGCTTGTTGGTCCAGTTGTGAGGATTTTTGTTTTCTTTATGTTGAGGTATAATTGATAATGAAGACTGTAGTCTGATCTTCTTCAGTAAGTGTTTCAAGTCTTCTTCACTTTCAACAAAGAAAGGATGTATCATCTGTATATCACAAATTGTTAATGAGGCTTCCTCCAATCCTGATGTCACATTCTTCATATAGTCCACCTTCTCAGATTATTAGCTCAGCAATGAGATTGTATAAGTATGGTGAAATGCTACAACCCTGATGCATATCTTTGCTGATTTAAAACCATGCAGTATCTGCATGTTCTGTTTGAATGACTGCCTCTACATATAGTTTCCTTGTGAACACAAAACACAAAACGTTCTTGAATTCTTCTCAATCCATAATTTGTTATGATCCACATGGTCAAATGCTTTCTCATAGTCAATAAAACACAGGTCAATGTATTTCTGGTGTTCTTTGCTTTCAGCCAAGATCCATCTGACATCAGCAATGATTCTCTCATGCTATGTTCTCTTCTAAATTCAGCTTGAATGTCTGGCAGTTCCATGCCCATGAACTGCTGCAATCATTTTTTAATTATCTTCTGCAAAATTTTACTTGAATGTGATATTATTGATATTGTTCAATAATTGCCACATTCTGTTAGATCACCTTTCTTTGGAATGGGCACAAATATCAATCTCTTCCACATGGTAGGCCAAGTAGCTGTCTTCCAAATTTCTTGGCATAGACAAATAAATTCTTCCAGCATTGCCTCTGTGTGTTGAAACATCTCAATGAGTATTCCATTATTTCCTAGAACCTTGTTTTTTGCCAATTTGATTATTGCATCTTGGACCTCTTCTTTAAATACCGTCAGTTCTTGATCATATGCTACTTCCTAAAATGGTTGAACATCAACCAGTTCTTTTTGGTACAGTGACCCTGTATATTCTTTCCACCTTCTTTTGATGCTTCCTGTATCATTCAATAATTAGATCATAGAACCCTTCAATATATCAACCCAAGGCTTGATTTTTTTTTCATCAGTCCTTTCAGCTTGAGAAATGCTGAACATTATTTCCATTTTGATTTTCTAACTTCAGATATTTGCATATTTCACTATAATACTTTACTTTTTTTCATTCATAATACTTTACTTTGTATTCTCAAGATGCCCTTGGAAATCTTCTGTTCAGTTCTTTTATGTCATCATTTCTTCCATTTGCTTTAGCAATTTTCCATTCAAGAGAAAGTTTCAGAGTCCCTTCTGACATCCATTTTGTTCTTTTCTTTCTTTGCTGTCTTTTCAATAACTTTTTTTCTAGTCTGTCTTAGTCTGGAAGCTCTGCTGAAACCTGTCCACCATGGGTGACCCTGCAGGTATTTGATACTGGTGGCATAGCTTCCAGCATTACAACAACAGGCGAGCCACCACAGTACAACAAACTGATAGACAAGGGGTGGAGCTGATCCATTGGGTATGATATGTTGACTCCACTTTGGAACCTTTTATACAAGATAAAACAAAATGCAGTAAGGAACAAAGAAAGACACTAATATCCTTAACATGTTGGAAAAGAAGAAGATAGGTAGAAATTGAATAACAGGATGTTAAAGATGAGTGGGTTTTTTTTTTCTTCAACTGTGTACCATAATTCTAATGAGTTTTCATCAATCCTAGAATAAATATACTGTATTCCTACTGAATTGGTCTCTCAGTTTTTCCCACTGTCTTTCAGAGCCCAGGTTGAGAGATCACATTACTTCAATTGAAAGAACAGTCAAGGTTATCATGAGTGACCCCAGTGTAAAAGTAAGACAATTGATATTTTTGTTTGATTAGTAGTAGTTTTAAGGATGAATTAAATGGTTTTGACTTTTTAAGGATCAATTTATAAGAATGCTTTATAAAGAACTCAGTGGTCAATTACATTTTTAAAAGAATACTATCTTTTCCAGTATGATGAACAACACCAAGGTAAAGTCCTAAAGTACACTCAGCTCAAGGGCTTCTCAGTATAATTTAAATCTCTACCCATGTCACCACTATGCCATTCCCTTCAAATCATTAATAATTAATTATAAAGATAATATATTTCCTCCAATAAATAATAAACCCTAAAGACTGTTCTTAGCATACTCACTGCCATCAAGTCAAACCCAACTCATAGCAAACCCTCCTTGGGTTTCCAAGGCAGTATCACTGTGGAAGTAAATTGACCAACCTTCCTTCCAAGGAGAGGCTTGCGGGTTTGAACTGCCAGCCTTCTGGTTAGTGGTCAAATGCCTTAGGCACTATGCTACCAGAATCACCTATTCTTAGCATAAACATTCTATTTTCCAACCAGGAAACACCTATTTCAAGTTCTGCCACAGAACCCAAACCGACTGCCATCAAGTCAGTTCGGACTCATGGTGACCCTATAGTACAGAGTAGAATTATTCCACAGGGTTTTCAAGACTGTAAATCTTTATGGAATCAGACTGCCTCATCTTCCCCCCAAGGAATGGCTGGTGGGCTCAAATCACTGACTTTTTTGGTTAGCAGACAAATGCTTTAATCATTGCACAACCACAGCTCCTTCCTGACATAGTAGGTTGTGCAAATATTTCCTGAGCAATTAATTAAAATATTTGTTGTTAGAAAAGATACAGAATTTATGCTGAGATAAATCAAAGAGGGGTGTGTGTGTGTGTGTGTGTGTGTTTAATGAAAATATATATTTTTTTTTTATTAAAATCTACATAGAAGACCTGCCCCACAAGATTGATGTTCTGGTTCTCTAGTGCCAGTTCTTGATCATATGACATACCACAAATGGGTGACTTTAGCCAACAAAATTTATTCTCTTAGAGTTTAGGTGGTTAGAAGTCCAAGTTCAAAGTGCCAGCTCTAGGGCTGGGCAAAAGCCCCTCTACCTTGGGCTTAAGCTCTGCCTCTTGCTCCCAGTCCACTGAAGCTACAGGCTTCTCTTAACTCAGACATCTGCTGGCTGCTGAGGCTGTCAAACACAAGGTTGACAAGTAAAATGGCACAGTCCCAAAATTATCAAACAACATGGCAGGTCATTCATTCAAGTGCATTAATAGTCCCAAGATTGGCAGAAAACATGGCAGGCCATTGAGATGAAGACTCGATTACATGCAGGGTGTAAGTGTGCCAAAAATCCCAGAGACTTTTCTCAAAGCCGTCTTCCCTAAAACAGCTACTCAGCTGCTCCAGTAGATCCCACCATGAAGTTTATTACAAGTATAGTCATGGAGAATAACTACATCCAGTTGCCCAGTCACTCAAAACCAAGCCCAGCCAAGTTAACACACAGCTTAACTACCACAGTGGCCAAGGTTGCAAAGCCTTATGGTAACAGACTACTTCATCTTTCTCCCTTGGAAATGAACAGTTACCCATTCAGTTGGCAGCCAAGCACTTTGACCTCTATGTCATCAGGGTTCCTTTAAAAAGTTATGTTAATAATCAAACTATGGTACATACAACAATGGAATAGTATGCAACACTAAAGAATAATGTAGAATCTGCAAAACACCACATAACATGGATGAACTTGAAGGACATTATGCTGAGTGAAATAAGTCAATCACAAAAGGACAAATATTGTATTAGTTCATTATTGTAAAAGTTAAGGAAAGGTTTATCTATAGAGGG